TATATATATATATTTTTTTTTTTTTTTTTTCAAATTTAGTTTTCAGAGAACAAAAATTCAGCCTACCTATGGAGAATATTCGTGCCTGTTTTATTTCTAATTCATATACAATATTAACACGCGTCCATCGCTAGCTGCGGCTGGCGCACTTCCAAGCTGGCCTGGAAATGACGCGCAGACAAAGATTACTTTTTCACAGCTTGTGGTACGTCCGGCTGTTTATTAATTTGACGTTTCCAGTTGCAGTCGCGGTGCAAAGTGGCGCGCCGTCTGCAACAATTTGTATACATTTTTAGCCAGCAGCAGCCGAGCCCAATCTTTTGGGGGGCGTGTCGCAAACCACCTACAGAAATTAAAGGCACTTAACGTAAAGCTGTGCTTCAGCCGCAGCTCAGTTCGAAATGCACTCAAACTCCGTCTTGTTATTCGCACTGCCTCATTAAAGGTTAGCGGCAAACTAAAAATCAACCTTGCTAAAGATTTAGAAATTGGAAAAGAGCTTTTGGCGCAAAGCTCAATAGTATGGATGTAGTACAGCTAATTGTTAGCAGATGGCGCTGCACTCTTATACGCTGTAAAGTATGCAATGAAACCTGTTGCAGCTCGAGCTGTTAATCCTGCGCAACATGTTGGCTCAAACAAGCTGCGTGCTGCAACTGGAAGTGTTCATTTTTAACAAAAGAGGGGAAATGTAACAGAACTGTAATGTTAATACGCTAACAGTGACTGTTATTGGTGAACATTTAACAGCAGTATGAATGAAATAAAACTGCTATGTTAAGCTATTTTATTTAACATTCGATGTGTGAGAGTTGCTTGGAAAGGGACGTGTGGTTGGCTGTTGCTGTTAATGACGTTTGCCGGATAAGTTAATGTGGAAACTCTGTTCGTCTTTCGCAAGCATATGAGACTGTGTTTTCTTTATGCCTGACTACTTTCCATCGCACCACCACCCCCACCCAATTTGCATTATAGCCGAGGGCGTTTGCATACAGACGGGGAAGCAGTAGAAGATGCGCTAACTAGTCGCACTTTTTGCTTGCATATGCAAAAGGATAATGCGACAGCCATCCAGCTCCCTTCCTGTCTCTCTCAACTTTTTAGCTGTCTGTCCCGACTATCGGCTCGGTCCGCAGTATTCTCACTGTCCTGCCTGTCTGTGAGTGAGCTGGCAAATCCCACGTAAATCTATCTGCGAAATTCTTGTCATGCATACGAATCTAATAACTGGAATCGTTGCACCGACCCCCAACCACCCACACTCTACACAAAGTTGGCTAAGTGAAATACTGTTGCTGCTCTTCTTCTGCTGCTTCTTCTTTATAGCCAATATCCTTATTTATGGCCGGCGATTAACCGGGTTGACTTTATTCAGCTATTCAGTGGAATTTTCTTCCTATTCCTATTCCTATTCATTTTCAACCCGTTTTGTAATTTTGGTTTCTTTATTATCATTTACATATATAATTTATTTTTTTTTTTAAATTAAACACTTTTCATATTTTTTAAGTCAATAAAGCCCAGAGTAAGCAATTGATATACATATACAACACACATACATATATGAATATACATGTATACAAAATAGTTATAGGAATCGGGCTGAGCAGTTTATCCAGCGAGTATTCGTAGCATATATGTATTTAAATTCTAATGAACATAATTTGTGTATAATAGTTATAAAGGAGTCCATTCTGATTCCATTCCAGACAACTGGAACCATAAAGTCCTGTTAGAAAGTCTTGATATAAAATTTTCCCTCCTCCTTCTACTTCTCTAGCTCGTGTGTTTCCAACTTCTGAAATTCAGCCATATTATCGTCCGCCTGCCTCTCTTCCAGCTCAGATTCCGTCTGTTCCAGCTTCTCTTGATTTTCACATTCCCGCTTCTCTAGCTCACTAGCTCCCATCTGCTCCTCCTGCTTCTGAAGCATTTCATCTTCCTTCTCCTCTTCTTCGCTTTTACCCGCTGTGGGATAGGGCAGCGAGCGCAATCGCAGAACCATATCCTCCAGTGTCTCTGACTTCGTCTCTGTCCCAGTCTCAGCTTTATCCGCCCTGCTGCGCTTCTTGTGGGCATCCTCATGCCTTGCGGCGGCACAGAGCTGCGCCTGGGGTTGACTCCTGGCTGACGGCGTCTTGGGTATAGCGCCTGTAGATTGACGCAACGCCAACTGGCTGGCAGTGGTTGTGACCGTCGCAGAGCAGTCAGCTCCACTGGCCTCCTCCACAATGTTGGTGCTGCTGCTGCTGTTGCTGGTGACCTGCTGCCCTACGGGCAACGTCTGCTCGAGCAGCTCTGCCTCCTGCCTTCTGCTCGCCTCCCGTTGTGCTATGCGATTGATCATGGCGGTTCCTCGCTCGGATGTGTTACTCAGACGGGCTATTAGCTCGTCGCCCTGCTGTTCGAGGCGACGCAATCGCTCCGCTCGATTGGCCGAGACGCGCTCAATGTCTTCCAGGCGTTGCTCCACGGTCAGCGAAAGGCTGGCCGCAGTCTCAGCCTCACCTTGAGTTTGAACCTGAATCTGAGTCTGATCCTGACTATCGTAACGTTCGTGCAGCGTGTCCAATCGATTGGCCAAGCCCTCACCTCGCTCTGTGTTTCGAGAGAGCTGGGCGATCAGTTGTTGACTCTCATGCTCTAGGCGCTGCAGACGCGCTGCACGCCGAGCAATGGATGCCTGCTCCTCGGCTGTCAAGGGTGATTCGGTCTCTGCAGCGGGCTCTTCTTTGGGCTCCTCCTCGGTGTTGCTCTCGAAGCTGGCCTCGCGACTGGGCGCACGTCGAATACGATCCAGGGACTTCTTCAAATAGTGTCCACGATCTGTGGTGCGCTTGATGCGTGACAATAGCTGGCGCGACTCCTCCTCCAGTCGACCCAGGCGCTCGGAGCGTTTGCGCGTATACTCCTCCTCGCGGGGCGTTAGACTGCCGACGCCTGTGGCCGGTGCGGAGCTAGCGCGGGTCATGCGCTCCAAGCGCTTCCGGTTGATGAACTCATCGAGCGGCACAGCATGCTGCACGGGTGCAATCTCGTCCTGGAAGCGACACAGCTGCACCTCAAGGCGCTCCCGATTGCCAGAAGTCTCCAGCACCTGTTGTATCAGCGATTGGCATTGCTGTTCCAGCTTCTGTATGCGACTGGCTGTGCCCGAGTCTGCGGGCGACGAGTGTGGGGAGTTGTCTGCGGTTGCTTGCAACTTGCCCCGCTGCCTGCTGCGTGAACTGTGTGCAGTTCTGGCCACTGCTCCACGTGATGTGCCAGCCACATCTTGCTGCAGATGCTGCTGCTGCTCTTGCTCCTGCTCCTGCTCCTCTTCGTCCTCCTCCGTCTCCGTCTCGCGCCAGCCACAAGTGGGCGGTGCACTATTCCAGCGCAACACAATCTCCTCATCGTCCGCATCCAGTCCGGCTGCAGCTGCCGCCTGGCGACCCGGTGATGTGCTCTGCATGCGTTTTATTTTTCGTGTATGCTCAAACTGATCCCTCAAGTGCTTGCGACGGGGCGCAGCGTCCCCAGCCACAGCCGCAGCCACCGCCACCGCTGCAGCCGCTTCATCAACTACTGCTGGCACTGCCCCAGCTGCTGCTGCTGCTGCTGCGGCTGTGTCCTCATCCGACTGGGGTCCAGAGTCGCTGTAACCACTTTCCGCCGAATGATTGGCATCCTCCAGTTTGCGTCGCGCAAATTCGCGTCGCCAATCATTGCACTGTTCCTGGCTCTCATCGTTCTTGGCCCGTGCCGCCGCCCATTTGCGTCGACAGTACTCCAGCTCATCCTTCAGCTCGCTGAGCAGGCGGCGCTTCTGCTGCAGCTGATAGCGCAGTATTTGCTCCTGTGTGTGCAGCTGGCGATGCTGACGCTGCATTTTGCTAACCAGATGCCAAGTCTTCGTCAGCTCTAAGCTGACCGCACTCAAACGCTTCTCCTGCTCGTTCAGCCTGTTGTCCAAGTGACAGTTGAGAGTCTTCAGACGGTTCGTTTCCTTCACCAGCGATTTCTTTTCCATAATCAGATCCTAGAAGAAGAAGCATATTATAGTATATGGGCTCATAAAAATGGCAGCAAGCAAGATATTATTATGAGACAATATAGCTCTCCCTGGGTACACACATATGTATATGTATACATCTAGTCTAGGACCTGAAACCGTGAACCGCTACAGACCTTAAATACATCTACAATATTTTATCTACCAAACTTCAAATTGCATTTTCTTTAAATTTGATTCTCTTCAAGCAAGTGGAGGTACTTTACTTCCACTATTATCTACCCTACCAATCCTGGACTCCATTTAACCATCTAGAGCCCTTCAAGCTTTGTTGAAGTCAACTTTCGATGTTCGGTATATGTTTAGTTTGGTACTTTCTACTGGTGTTGGCTTCAAAAGCTTACACTAGCCCCCGAATGGAGTGCCGAAATGCTGGCTCACTGGCTACGATTTGTTGTTAGCTTTTCGTTGTGCTAATCCACAAGCAGCCAACCTCCGCCCTCGACTTCCCACTGCAGCTCGCCTTTCACTTCTCGCCTCCCCATCTCCCGTTAGCCAAGTCTCGCCCACTCTGGCAAAAGAGTGTGCAACATGTTTTGTGCTCAACCGATAAATTCAATTATGTGCACAACAACTGGCGCCCACTTTGCTGACTCGAAAAAGCCAGCCGGGGGCACCCGCCCGGACGTCAGCAATAATGAAGCTACGCCTGCTTGGCCTGCACTTTACTAAATAAAGCGCTTAAGTGAATAATGCAAAACTTTGCAACAGCCCAGGACAAGTACGAGAACGAGAACGAGAACGAGAACGAGAACGAGAACGAGACTGAGCCAAACCAGAGCCTAGACCGACACAGACACGGTCATGGGCCAGGCTGGGGACTCGGCTGCACTTCATCAGCAAACCGGATGCGACAGCTAACAAGCCCGATTGTCCGCAGCACTTGAGCAACAGAAGCGGCAGCATTTGCTTCATACTCACCTTCAGCTTGATGTAGGTCTTGCTGACGCTCAGCTCTGCAGCTTTGCCTGTTGCAGTTGCAGCAGTTGTTGTTGTTGCTGTCGTTGCTGTTGTTGTTGTTGTTGCTCCTCCTCCAACGACTGCTCTTGTTGTAGCTGTTGTCGGCGCTGCCTTGTGGCCATCCTCGGCAGCTGCTGGCTGCTCTTCAAACTGCACGCGCTCGATTTTGTGGTGACTCAAGAGCTCCATCAACACTTTCCAAACTTTTGGCAAGTTGCCAATGATTTCTTGGGCCGTGGCAACTTTTCCCATAATTTCGGGCTCATGGCTTTTTAACGAAGCCACAGCAGCGGTCACTCCAGCTCCACCCGCTCCTCCTGCACTGCGCCTGCGATGCTTTTTGACGCTCGGCTCCGGCTTGACAGAGTCCGTGATATCTTCGCCCATAGCTTTGACCTCGCTCTCAGTGTTTGGTGTGGGCGTTGCACTGCGACTTTTGTCGCTTTCTGGCTCAACGTCGCCCGACTTGGCCGCCTGCTCGACCAGCTCGAAGAGCAGCTTGGGCAGTGTGGCTCCATCGCTGCAGCTGCCCTCCGCCTGTGTCATCTCGTTCAACAGGTCGCGATTCTCCTCCAGCATTTGTGTCAGACGATCAATATTCAGATTATTCTTACCATTGAATCCCATTACAAGTTGGCTGAACAACTGTCGAGAAAAGAAATACTGTTGAATATTTCTATTCTGAATTTGAGTATGGGATTATATCGCATATTAGATATTAACCAAGTTATCCCTCGTCAAAGGTATTCTCGTCTATGGCAAGTAATTTTCATCTCTGCAATTCAAAGCTAATAAATCGCTCTTCTATCACATTCTCATAGCCATTCTTCTTGTACATATTATTATTAATTTTATGTGATATATTAATAATTAATATTATTAGAGTAAAATCCGGTTATAACGACGCTCAAAGTACCGTTGTTATACCCGGAAGACGCTATAACCAAATAGGTTTGAGGTGACCAGAATTTTCGTCGCTATAACCGTAAGGACGCTATAAGCGAAATCGGTTTAACCGGATTCTACAGTATATTATATTACCATTTATAAACTGCAACAAATTTAATACAGACAAAAACAGGCGAAATCCTAACAATAAAAAAAATGTTCTACCTATATTGTACCTACCATCTAAACGATGTACTCTTAGGATAACTATTTCTCTATTCTATCTAATGATATATACTGAAATTTCTGTTTTAAAAACTTTTCTTCCTCTTTAAGAAAATATATTGCTAGTGTATATATAGAACCTTATTTTAGCCTAATAGATTTACAAATTTGATAAAATGTTTTCTACTGAAGAACTTATGTATTTGCCTAGGCGATTGGTAATATGGAAACTTATGTAGAAAACATTTGATGATAATTGTTGTTGTTGTTTAGAAAGGCGTTTCGCATCTTTCATCATTTAACTTTCACTATGTAACTTCCCACCTAATTATATTTCCCTTGCAAAGCAACTTATATAGCTCTCTCTGCTGCTGATGCTGAGATATTATGTAATTCCATAACTTCGATTTATATATAGCACAATATTATTGCTCAGCGTGGTTGTCGCCTAACGAAAAGCAGTTGAAAATGTTGTTGATGCCTACCAAATTAACTGCGCCCACTTGCTCCTTGAGGGCACGTTTCTCGTACTTGTGCTCGGCACACTCCTCGCGCACCTTGGCCAGCTCATCGTTGGCTGTTTCCAGCTCCTTGAGCAGCAATTGATTTCGTTCTTCGCAGCTCTTTGTTCTGCGAAAAGGAAATTGAAAGTGATGCACACTGACAGCCAGCCAGACTCCCACCCAGGCGCACACTTACTTCTCCTGCTCTGCGATTAGCTCGTCCTTTTTAATCGAGATGAGGCGCTGCAGATTCTCATATTCCGCAGCAGCCACGCGTTGACGCTCCTCATACAATTGCCTCAGCTGGCGTATGTTGACCAGCTGCCGTTCGTATTCCTGGCGTAAGTTGTTGGACATGATCTTCATTTCGCGCTCACTGAAAGAGTTCTCGATCTCCGTCAGCTTCATCTTCAGCTGGGGGCGGGCAAAAGAAACCTAGTGTTAGTTCGGAACGGTAATCTTGCTGGCTTGCTGCTGCTCTAACCTGTGCACATTGCTCCTCCTTGACACTGAGCATCTGCTTGCAACAGCAAATGACCTCCTTAAGGGTGCCCACTTGCCGTTGAACCACATCCAGTTCGCTGCGTAATGAGAGATTATCGGCATTGGCCAATTGCAGGGCCAATTGTGCGTTGGCCAGCTCAATGTTGGCATGCCGACTCCGACTGCTGGGATTCTCATCATCCGGATCAGGCTGCGACTTCTGAGCATCCACTGCCCCACCTACTGCTGCCTCTACCTGCTCTAATGATGCTTGTCGTCTTAGACGTTGATTTTCAGCCTTCTCCTGTGCCAGCTGCTCACGCAATTTAGTCAGCTCCTCACGCATCTCCTGCACAGCTGTTTGACGTGCCAAACGCTTAGCGGCCAACTGCTCCCGGAACTCCTCCAGTGTGGAGCCATCGCCCTCGGGCTTAACCTCCTCTGCTGCTGCTGTTGCTGCTGCATCCGTTGGCTCCGTCTTGGGGGACGTGTCCATAGCCTCCACCGGCTGCAGCTGCTGCTCCTGAACTTGCTGTAGTATTAAGTTTTCGTGTTCTATTTGCTGCCACCAGGGCTCGTCGGGTGCGTCTGTGGACGTTGCGGCTGGCACTGATTCATGGGCTGACTGACTCGTTGACTCTGCATTTCCCATTCTTGCGTTGCTTTTTTAATGCTGCAGCCCGAAGAACAAAGAAACGATCCGCTGGCTGCCCCTGTTTCTGGTATGCCAAATGCACTCGATTTATTGCTGTTCTTGTTGTTGCTGTTGCTGTTGTTATGGCCAGCAGCTACTGCGTCTGTTTACTTTTTGTGGCACCCGTTGAGATTTACGCTAATGCGACTTTTCTTTTACGTTTCTTCTAGAGCCAGAGAACACAAAGAGACGACCGCCCAGCCAGCTGCGCCTTCTCCCACAATTTCGATCAGGCGAACTGTTTCAAGTTAAACAGCAACAAAAACAAAAAAACTTGGCACACACACCTCTGTCGCTCTCTCTATATATGTATATATATAGATATATATATCTATATCAGCATTATATGGTTATGTTACTTTTGCTTCTCTTGTTATCTAACTTTTAGTTATGCATATGTTACTTATAGTTGCTCCGCTAATATATTATTATTTATTGTTCCTCACGAGAGAAAAGTTTATTCTTATTCTTCATCCGTGAAATCAGAGCTTTCGCTAACATCACTTGAATGCAGTTCCATCCAATGATAATCGCGCCGATCTACATATTCCCAGAGATAAATCTACGAGAAACAGGAATTAAGAACAAATGTATACATGTATCTGCATTGTAAAAAAGGAACCATAAACAATATTTAAAAATTATGCAAAAATATATACTTATAATACGTATCTATATATA